TATTATATCTTCTCTTGATTCCTGTAGAATCGTTGGGCTTGTTGTGGGTGAAATAATCTTTAATTTAGGCTAGTAGCCTTGGTTAGAATATAACTTAGCGTGACTATCCTTTTTAGAATTGATACTTGAGGCCTTAGGCTAGGATTGAGCCTTAGATGCCTTAGAATGTGCTTTATTGCTCTTGTAGTTGTGTGGTTCTTTCACTAGGGCTTATTTCAAATGGTGTATCTTGTATTAGTTCCTGAGACCTTAGTGACTCATCATAGCCATAGGTTGCCATTAGTTGTGCTTGGTTGTACTGGAGCGATATGATTAGGGTAAGGCATCGTTCCTTGAGTTATTTCTCTCCCATAATTTAATTCTGAAGCTCTTCCTGATTCATTTGTTTGTTGATTAACAGTAGGCCTATTATGTTTTATTGAGTTATTATTATATTATTGGGTTCGAGTCTGTGGTCGAGACCAGTTGTATTCCATCTTAAGTCTCTTTGCCTTAATAGCGTGGTAGGGCTGGATTATATTTATAATCGCATGTGCCTTGTTTGGATGTTGGTGATGACATGCACTGCATTTGTTGGTCATTCTCATGTGTTTTTTGGTACGATCTTGGTTCATGCATTGGATCATCATTACTATTTATGGAAAAAGACTATTTTCACTTGATTACTATTTTAAACTAGTTTTAACGGGAATCGTACCACTTGGATCACTTTGTTAAGCTAGTTTTCTAGGTTTATGAGGTGTTGAGGACGTGATCATTTTCTACTTGAAATATTAGAGGCATCTGGGATATGCTCAACTTTTACTTGACTAGTCGGTGCGTCGACACTTTTTTTGCATTTCTTTGGCTACTTGTACCTCTGGTACCATGACATAGATGATATCTCGTAAGTCCCAATTTGGGCCCAAGAAGTGTATACGAACTTCCCACATCCATATGGGTCCCTCTGACTGTGTGTTCCATTGTACAGGAAGAGAGAGCTCCATGAGTCCTACCTCACTTGATAATGGCAGAGGGTAGGTATATATACTTGGTTATTGATGGTTCAGCTGGTTCTACTGCATCTCATGCATTCATATGCATTGACTATCACTAGAATAATTAGTTGTTGGTTGTATCCTTCAATTTTTTGGGGGTCGGTTGGGTTATGTTTGTTGTTTGTACCTTCTAGGCTTATGAGGTCCGATTAATTTATAGTTTAACTATATTCTGTATTCTTGTGATATTGATATAATAGTTGTTAGGTTGTTGTTTAGATTTATTGATGTTAGTTCTCCCTGACCTTAGGTAGTTCATGAATTATGTAACATAACTTTGCTTGTGAGTAGGTTACTCGTTTGAGTGATTCATAAACCCTCGTCGGGATAAACAAGCAAGGTGGCTCGTGGCTTAAGGTACGTTATTTGACTCAGTATTTTTACTCTTTGTATCTTACTTCTTCTTTCTTAGTGCCTATCTTATCATGTTATATCTCATGTTTAATTATGTGTGTTGTACTTTCCTTATTTATTTGTTGTTTATATTTGCCTTGACTTTGGAGCTCAGTCGGTCGATGTCTAGTAAGTACTGTTTATTGGTACTCATATTATACTTCTGCAGCCTACAAATTATAGTCCGAGTTCTCATCGTTGACTTGGATCTCGTGTGGAGCATCTTTGTGGATTCGAAGACTTGGTTGAGCTCATGAAATTTAAAGTTATTTTGGGATAGGCTAGTCTTTAGGTTGTATTTGGAGATAGTTTGTACTTGTATTGTATCTGTAAAAGCCTTATACTCCTATTTTTATTAGATGCTCGATTAGGGACTAATGTCATATCTTAGAGATGGTTTCTTGTATTATATTTCGGTTGATCTCTCTTTTTCTCAGTATTATTAACTTGTTGTTTCTTAATGTTATCTTCCACGTGATATCCCGTTGCTTATAGTTTCGGGCTGGGGGTTAAGCTTATCTATTGGTGGGATGTAGTAGGTGCCATCATGACCTGAGAAATTGGGTCGTGAAAATTTGGTTTCATACGTTTTGGTTGACCGACATCATTGGTATGAGAGCAACTGCCTAATAGAGTCATACGGATCGGTGCAGAGATGCATGTATTCTATCTTTGGGAGATTGTAGGGCATTCTTAGAGAATTTTGTTTTTTGATTCCTTATCGTGTGCTTTCGCTTTGATGAACCTCTAAAATTGCTTCTTCAGAATCTACTCTTTCTTAGATGGATGACACAAGATATTCGATGGATGTGGATGGAGCATCAACATATTCTACCAGAGTTTCAGCACTTGGTCGGGCTAGATGCCCTAAGTTAGGCACATGCCTTAGGTTAGGAGACGTTCTTCAGCATTTAGAGAGTCTAGGGCAGCACAAGATCCGTCAGGGTTGTTGACTACCTCGGCTCCTCGAGATTCAATGTTAGGAGGCCTTAGTCTTTTTGAGGGTACACCATATAAAAGTGTTGTTCTTGGTGTAGTGGGTGCTTCTCAGGATAGAGTTGGGTTGATTGGTCCCTAGCAGGGCTCTTCGTCCATTTCTGAGTACGTTTTGTGATTTTTGTAATGGGTCAGGCATACTCCCACATTATTCCCTATGGGTCGAAACTTGAGCCAAGAGTTCATAAAAGGGTTGTCCTTGCCACTCTAATTGGCGTCGGAGCACATGATAACAACGGGGTCTACCTTTCCCAGGTTGTTAGTCATTTGAGGGCTGTGGAGCAGGCTGATACGCCCCAATTACACCTTCCTAAAGAAGTATAGGGCTCTAGGTTCAAGCTAGTAAACAGTGGATTATCACACCAAATTTCATTGTTTAATCATTTTCACATTCGTTACTTTCTTGGTCGGGCAAGTAGGACTAAGGCGGGTTCTAACGTTGCACACCGTTAAAACACAATCAAAACGAAGAGATCAATAATACATGCATAAATACTATTTAAGAATTACTTAATTATTAGGTCTACGTTGTTAATTACTCATGGTTCCACAACCCTAGTTGTAGATTTAGCTACTCATGCTTGGGTGATCACAATTAATAAGTTTGTTAAAATAAATCATAAACTTATAATTAGAGTAGATGGAATTCAGAATCTTGAATTGACGCACAAAAATGATATTATAAACCAATGTTTCAAGAATTAAATGGACAAAGTATTCACAAAATAATTTTCAAAGCCAAAACTAAGTATCCAATTGTCTAAAACTTAAAACGTAAATAAAAATGACTATTTATAAACATCTACTACTAAATAAAGTCAAAAAAGGAAATACAAGAAAAATGGGCTTCGACAGTCAACTTTACAGGTCATGATCGACGACTCGTAGACCACGTCCGTAGAAGGCAGCTTCTTCAAAGGCCATTTGGACACATCCTACGAACATGATCTACTACTCGTAGACCTTTGTACGGTCTGTCCTAGCAATACGTCATTTACAATACTGGGGCTCATAATTCTTGCCTCTTTCTACGACTCAATACTACGGTTCTTAGGTCATCCTACGACCCGTAGTATGTTTTTGTCTCCCCCTACTTAACCTAATTTCTAGCTTCTTCTCCAGCCTTCATCTACGAGTCAATCCTATGTTTTGTAGTATAATCTAGTGCTTGTAGGTTGACTCGTAGCTCATCAAAAACCTGTTGCTTTAATAGAATTCCATCTTCGGACAGTTACAACCTACTTTCCTGCAAACATAGATAAATATAGCATCAAATCTTTTAACAAAGGCTTAAGACACATGCAAAATGCAAGTGTAAAACATTATAAGTATCGTAAATTTGCGGTACATCAACACCCTCAACTTAAAATTGTTGTTTGTCCTCAAGAGACATTACTAACTCTAAACGACACGATGCAAAAGTAAACCCAAAAACTCAAGCAATCACATGGCATTTTTTCAAACAATCAACCCTTAATTTTTTCACTTTTCACTACAGTGCAATCATTAAGTTCAACAACAAGACAACAACATGCATATCAATTTACGACATAGACATACTAATAGACATATTTACATACATAATCACAGAGATACCATCTCTTCGACAATGTAACTTGTGCCCTTATTGCAAAGAAATCCCTTTGTTCACACATATTTAGATTTATAGTTCAATTTCATGGACTCAGTATTGCTCACTCTCAGAGTTAAATTCAATACAATACATGCACAATACCACATGTTTGCCTTTATTTTCAATACTTGACTCTCAAACTGCCAAATTAGGATTAATATAGGACTTTCTTAGCTTGTAACGTAGGCTCAATGCCATGTATGGTATAATTGGATTTTTTAAATGACTTTTCTGCCCTCCTTGACATTACATTGACTATTTTCCTCTTTAACAACCAATCCAGGTATCACATTAATATTTCTTTTCTTCTCATTATTCATTGAAGCTCGGGTGTGACTTTGACTTACTTTTTTTTTCGTTTCAACTTTTCACTCTTTTATTATTTTATTTTATTTATTCTACCACACCATCTTAATATTTTTCTCTTTTCTAAATACACAACTCTTTTCATACCCCTTTCTTTTCTTGTTTTCCTCTATAGTAGCCACCCTCAACTTAGGTTTTTTTACTTGAGTTAGGGTGAACGATGTCCAAGGAGGTACCAAGACCAAAAAAAAGGTTAACAATTATCACGGGGAAGGTGAATTGAGTAAATTGAAAGAATGGTCTAATTCAGGCTCAATAATTTGAATCGAAGGGAGAATTTTTATTTAGTTGATTAATTTTAGGCTTTAGTGGACTCAATTTCAACAATGGCCTATGATTATTTCCTAATTAACAGTTGAACCAACTTAGCAAGACTAACGAGACTTGTTCTAGATTGATATACACAGTACGAATGAACAAGTATCCTCACACACATGTCACATCATTTAACTATCAAATTATCAGTGTATCTGGTTCATGTTTCAGCCTAAGTCATGTTATCTAATCGGTTCATATGATGTCTAAAAAAATCCTACATATATGACTTATCAATCACACATATATAACACACAAACCAAAATTTCATGGGGTTGAGCTAGTATCCTCAGCTCGAAGGCATCTATCTTCCTCTGTGTGGCCTGAGTCTGCTCTGAAATAACAACTTGCTTCCTCACCTCAGAATCCTGACCAAATTGCTACATCCATGGTCGAAAGTGTTGTAACAATTGCGTCATTTGAGTCTTTAGCCGCTGAAGTCTGGCTATCGGCAAGGTGGAGAGAGCCGATGTAGTGGGGGCACATAGTGTGCTATCAGCCAGAGAAAAATTGATGTGTGTGTTGCCTTGCCGAGCTCAGTAGTAGTAGTATCTCCCGCGGGAACCTCACCCTCTTTAGACCCAGAAGTGGTCATCTACGACATGCTGAACTATGAGCCGCGTAATGGTGCAGCCGGGTTTGACATAACCCAGATAAGCCCAACATCTAGTGTCTGAGTCTGTGAAATCAATAGGTCAATACCCATGAGTAGTGGCACCGTAGACTCGCGACATAAGCAGAATATCAGCCCAGGAAAGGGAAGAGTTATGGTCACCCAGAATGCTCGCCCCGCCCATATATCTCCTAAATAAGTACCCGAAGAAAATCAATCTTATATCCAGCCATGATACATGCAACCATCACTGTTCGATCATGAATCAGATGGTTGTCTGTCATAGTGGGTGATAGGTGAGAACGGACAATCGACCACAAAAGTTTACAATAAAGTTGAGTTAGGCCTTTTTAATTGGGCCCGGACCGCGTACTCGGTCCGAATCAACCCCTTGCTCTGCAATGTATCTAACAACCTATCTCAATAAATCCTCTTTTTGAAAGGCATCCTTCATCGCTTTTGTATCACGCACAAACTGCATCTTATAATCAAACTCTGTTGTTGACATAGTCTGCTTATAACTCGGGCCATGCAAAAATCGGTGAATGGTCTGATCCAAGATGTCAATTAGACTTCCCAAACTATGGTGCTTAGAAGAGGAGGTTGTGCTAGCTCTTTTCCCTTTTTCGACATTCATTTCTTGACTATAGTTGCATGCGATGCATAAAACTCCCAGACCATATTTTTGTTGTACTGGCCCACGAACTCTACCATCCACTCACACCGATGTCGTTTGGATAGTGCATGTAGCTCTGGAGAGGTGTGAAAACAATCTTGAATCCTCAATAATAGGCCATCTAGGGTGTTTTCTTGCGTTAGGAGCAACCGTCTTCAGAAAGATCTGGAACATGCCCCAGATGTCAAAATGATTTAGCTGACCCGCAACCCAAACAAAATCAGAACTCAACTGAGATCCACAATGAGAGCCCAGTGTAGACTTTTTCGATGAAATACCTTCTTCGCTTTGTGAGACAGCTCCCTCTTGAGACTGGAGAGTCGATGTTTGGGGAGGTCCAGCTATACCAACCGGGTCTGGGATTATCTCCAATTGCTAGGACTATTTTCTTGTGGTCCGGGGTGCCTGAGGTGAGTCTTTACCCATGCATGGGTTGTCTTCTAACCCACTCTATTCATCATCTATGGGTTTATTTTGTAATTGCAACTAAGACGTAGAAGCGACAGTGGATTTCCCACATCTTTATGAATTACCTCTTTGTGGCATAGTACCTATAGGAATACTTGTTAGTAACAAATAAGACGGTAAAAGAAATCAAGAAAAACTACAAACAAATCAACGAAACTAAAAAAAATTCAAGACAATGCATTATTTTTGGTCTTACGATTGGGTTCCTACGGGTCATAGAACCTTCTACGACCCGTATGGTCAAATCATAGGAAGGAAGGACACATTTTAAGTTTCCGTAGTTGGAACTAAGGACTGAGAGTACAGCCCGTCAAAGTTTCCATGGACCGTAGGTCAGTCCAGTAGTTCACAACTAAAGCTACTTGAATTTTATTTATGAACTAGAAATCCTATCTACGATCTGTAGGAAATCCTATGACTCTTAGACAGGCTCCGTAGTTTTTGTCATTTAGCATCATCTATCAGATGTCTTGTACGAGTCCTATTTACAGTTCATAGGAAGTCATACGACCTGTTGATAGCATTTGTACAAAAGGTGTATGGGAAATAGTCAGTAGTGGTCCTTTAGGCCTATCTACAAAGGGTAACTATGGGTCGTAGATGGATGTATAGTTTGCAGAAGATCTCGTAGGCATAAATTGCTTGGGATAGTGTGATTATTTTCACACAATTTCGCAAAATTTATCAGTCCCATATTAATTCTAAATTGTATGCATTTCTAATTCTGACATTCAAATAACATCATCATCCTTAGGATTTATATTTTCAATTTAATCAAAACAACCACTAGTACCACAATTCAAACCCTAATTCAAGTTCACAATTTGGATTTATTCAACAATTTATGACACAGATGCAAATAATTGTCAACACTCACAATAATATTGTCCCTAGGGTTGATTTTAACCAATTTAACACATAATTAACAATCATCACAACACTAGGTCAAGTGTCAACTTCAAATTTCAACCAAATTTAATAAATTTTAGGGTGAGATATCATACCTTTAGAAGTAATATGAAGTTGTGTGAGTGTGTTTTCAAACGTAGACGCCTAGACTTCGAAGCCCACACTAGGATTGATTGACCCATGACCTTTTTGTTAATTTGTCCTACCGGAATGTAAATAAAATAAAGGAACTGGAGTTTGTTGAGAGGTATTGAGTACGAAGTGAGTGTTTGTTTTAAGGAAGAGAGTGGGGATTAGCAACGGTTAAGGAGGGGTGTTAAGGGGTTCATAATAGTTGGAGAATATGGAAAGATGGAAGAATTCAAAAATATAATTTTTATTACGATAGGGTCGTGGGTCTGGTGTCTTAATTTAACCTCACTTGGTCTTACGAAAGCTCGTCTATGGACCGTAGAAATCTTTTGTACATCGACTTCACACTTAGAATAATTCAAAAACATACATGAAGTCTACGGGTACAAACTAAGGACAAGCCACGATTCATACTATGCACTCGTAGACCTAAAGTTGTAGTTGTGTTTGGACATAGGTTTCTACGACTACAATCTACAATTTGTCCAATGAACTATGGCCCTTATATGGGACCCATAGAACAATTCCTCAATCATGTTACCTTATTGAGATTCGACGAACAGAGCCTACGGTATGTAGGAATATCTACGGCTTGTAGAATCCATCCGTAGGATCCAATGCACTTGAAATTTTTCTAGATTTTTCTTTATATCCTGCACATATAGCAAACATTAGGCATTCGTTTTCAAGTGCATTGGAGTCCTACAAATCCTCAAGGCCTAATGTCCAAAAAGTGTCTACAATAGGTTAACTTAGGGTCTTTATATTCTAGACACTTTTTGGACACAGACCCTAAGTTAACCTATTATGGCAAAAAAAATCAAAAACTAATAACTAGAAAAACATCAAAAATAATTAAATTACATCTTGGGTTGTCTCCCAAGCAGCGCTATTTAACATCACGGCACGTCGCAGACTCCTTAACTACTTAGACTTCATCAAGATTGCATTCTTCAATCACCTCTTTGACTTCCTTTGGTTGCCCTAAAGATTTTTATCCTCTGGTCATTCACATTGAACGTTGTTGTTTCATTATTCCCAAGTTCAACCGCTCCATGTGAAAACACTTGCACAACTTTAAAAGGTCCAGTCTACTTTGATTTGAGTTTGCTAGGAAACAAGAGCAACCTTGAATTGAAGAGACGGACAAATCACTGAGAGCAAATTCACGCTTTTCTAACTTTTGATCACGGTACTTCTTTATCTTTTCTTTGTACAAGGCTGATCTTTCATATGCTTTTAGGCAAAACTCATCAAGTCCATTCAACCTCTTATTTGATGTAGTACCCCAATCTAGATTCAACTTCTTGAGTGCCCACATAGCTTTGTGTTCTAACTCTACAGGCAAGTGACAAGACTTTCTGAACACAAGTTCGTAAGGAGACATACCTATGGGAGTCTTGAATGCAGTACGATATGCTCATAGAGCATTATCAAGCTTTCTTGACCAATCCGTTCTGTTTGCATTCACATTTTTTTGCAAGGATTTGCTTTTTCTCTATTGGACACTTCAACTTTCCTACTCGACTGAGGATGATAATGGGTTGCTACTCTATGTCGAACATCAAACTTCTCAAGTTACGCCTTGAATAACTTATTACAAAAGTGAGAACCACTATCACTGATAATAACCTTTGGTGTACCAAATTTGGAGAAGATATTATTTTTCAAGAATGCGGTGACACTCTTTCCTTCATTATTTGAAAGTGCAATAACTTCCACCATTAGATACATAGTCAACTGTTACAAGTATGTACTTCATCTCATTTAAATTCACAAATGAACCCATAAAGTCAAGGCCCCAAACATTGAACAATTCAATTAACAACATAGGAGTAAGTGAGAGTTCTTGTTTCTTTGAAATAATTCATTCTCTTTGACATCGATCACAAGACTTGGTGAAATCATGAGCATCTTGGTGAGTGGTAGGCCAATAATACCCACACTACAAGATCTTATGTGTAGTTTGGATACCGCTATGATGACCACCAACATGAGACGAATGACAAACTTCTAATATACGCATCATCTCAACCTCACAAACACAACGACTAATAATCCCATCAGTGTAATTACGAAATAGATAAGGCTCTTCCTAGAAAAACCTTTTCACATCAGACATGAATTCTCTTCTTTGGTGGAATGACAAATCTGAAGGCACAACATCACTCGCCATATAATTAGCGAAATTTGAAAACTAAGGAATGAGATAAAAAAACAACCAAAAAATGTTCGTCAGGAAACACATCATTAATCTAAACTCCATCTGCTAATTTCAACATTGCTTCTTCCTCTAATCTGTACAAGTAATCAACAACTTGATTTTCTGTCCCTTTTCTATCTTTCACCTCAAAATCAAATTTTTGAAATAATAATACCGATCGAATTAGTCTCGGTTTTGCATCTTTCTTTACCATAAGATACCTCAACGTTGCATGGTCAGTGTCTACAATGACTTTAGTACCAAGCAAATAGGATCTAAATTTCTCAAACGCGGAGACTACAACAAACAATTCTTGTTCAGTGACAGTATAGTTTTTTAAGCAACATTTAGGCCTTGCTTGCATAATATATGAGATGAAGAATCTTTTATCGCCTTTGCACTAATATTACGTCAAGCGCCACCCCACTCGCATCATACATAACTCTGAACAGTTGTCCTCAATTCGGTGAAATAATGATCGATGCAAACATAAACTTCTATTTCAACCCTTCAAATGCTTTCACACAAGAATAATTGAACTCAAATTTTGTAACCGTTTAAGCAACTTACACAATGGGTGCGCTATTTTGGAGA